TTAAATGAAATAAGCCAGGCACAGAAAGACAAATACCTCATATTCTCACTCATATGTGGAAGCTAAAAGAGTTGATCTCATAGAATTAGAGAAAAAACAGTGGTCAGCAAAGACTCAGAAAGATGGGAGGGGGAGATGGAGAAGGATTTGTTAACCCACATAAAAACACAGTGAAATAAGAGGATTAAGTTCTAGTGTTTTGCAGCATAGTTCAGTGATTATAGTTACCAGTCATTTATTGTATGTTTCAAAATAGCTAGAATAGAAGACTTTTTTTTTAAACTCAGGACCTTGCGCTTGCCAGGCAGGCGCTTATGCCGCTGAGCTATATCCCCGGCTAGAGTAGAAGATTTTAAATAAGCCCAGCACAAAGAAATGATAGATGTTTGAGATGATGGATATGCTAATTTCCTAATTTGATCTTCACACCACGTATACATGTATCAAAATATCATATCTCACCCCGTAAACATGTACAATTATTCTGTCAAGGAATAAAAATTTGGGAGACTGGGCATATAGTTCTGTGGTAGAGTAGCTTGCCTAGCATGCGTGAGGCCCGGGGTTCTATCCTCAGCACCGCAAGAAAAGTTTAAACAAGACAAAAATAATATATTAATTATTTAAATATTCATTTCTCCCCATACACATTTTTTCAGAAAGCTAAGAGAGAGGATGCTCCAGCCAAACAAGGGACTATACCAAGAAGGAAGACATGGATCCTAGCAAGAGAAGAGCCAACCCAGGAGAAAGAGAAGGGTCCAGGAGCTTCCCAGCAGGACTGGGAAGTTCCCCACATAAGAGCTCTGCCCACAGGCCAACAGCTTCCCTGGGTGGGAGCTGGGGACGCAGGCTGGTGGAAGGCAAGTGGGTACAGACATGGATTTATGTGAGCCTAATGGAACTTGAGCTCAAGAAGCCCTCGTGGGCACAGCATGGGCCCGTCTTCCCCCTGACAAAGGAGACCCCTAGGCACATCTTCACGCAGTCATAGGTATTATTTTCAGTTTTCATTTCTTATTAGTACATGTTCGCAGTGCACAATGATTGCATTCCTTGTGGGGAGCTGGTGCGTGCACATAACACATCTTAATTCTTTTCTCATCCCTTCCCTCCCCTTCTCCTCTCCCTTCATCTCTTGGTATTGGTATCCTTCCCATTTGAAAAAGATCTCCTTATTTCTTGTTATCTTGCCTTTTGTTCTCATTTATAATTTGAGTCTTTCACATAAGAAAAACCATGGGATATCTAAGCTTGTGCTTCTGATCTATTTCACTTAACTTTATTGTCTCAAGTGCATCCATTTTCCTACAAAGGACTCAAGTTTATCCTTCTTTACTGCAGAGTCATCCACCACTGTGTGTAGGCATTTTCTTTATCCCTTCATCCACTGATGGACTATAGGCTGCAAGTTATTTGCAGCATAGTCACTTAAGATAGCCACTGACTCCTCCCACTCGTCTTCCGCTTTTCCCTCTTCTCTTTGTGACAGGTGACCTTTTTTTTGTTTGTTTGTTTGTTTGTTTTTCCAGTACCGGGGATCTAACTCACGACCTTGAGCTTGCTGGTCAGGCACTGTGCCGTTGAGCTAAATTCCCAGCCCCTGTGACAGGTGACTTTTTAAAATCCAGTTAAGAGCTTCGGTTGGAAATACGGTTGGCTTGAGCCCAGAAGGACCTAGATATGTGAGTCATATCATGTTTGCGTCTCTAGTTGATGCCCCAGCAAAAGAATGGTTCTCCAGGGTAATTTTGTCATCCACCGAGCAGATTCACTGTGCCTGGGGGTGGAGGGCGGCACAAAGGTTGGACAAGAGCTGCTCTGAAGCAGTTGATGTCCCACAGAGAAGAAATGTGCTGGAGGAAATGCTGAATTATCTTTCTCCTCTCTCCATGAAAAATTACTTTACAAATCTTTGTCATATACAAGCAAAAAAATGAGTGGGAAACGGGTTTTAGATGAATGCTGAAAGATTGTTTAAAAAATATTTTCTAGATTTTGTGCTGTTTATGGTAGCTTTTGGCTTTTTGTCATTTTTAATTTAAATTAATAGTCATGTTTATGCTAAAGTTTTATTCATAATTTTGTATTTTCTTCCTACAAAGGGAGCCTCAAAATTGTGTTTTCAGGCCTCATAAAACTTAGATTCACCACTTTGGCTCTAGGTAAAAAGTACAAAGTAAAACACTGATTTCATAGCTGGGCCTGGTAACAGACACAGGCAATCTCAGCTGCTTGGGAGGTTGAGACAGGAGGATGGCAAGTTCAAGTGCAGCCCCAGCAAGTGAGGGAGACAGTGTCTCAAAATAAATTTATTTTTTTAAAAAGGGCTGGGGTGTAGCTCACTGGTGGTTCATCCTCCTGGTCCTGTGAGAGGGAAAAAGTGGGGAGAAAGAGGAGGAGGCAGACAAGGGAGAGGAGGAGAAGAAAAGAAGAAGGAAAAGGAGAAGAACAGAAAGAGAAAGAACAAGGGGGGGAAGGAGGAGGGAATAGAGGAAGGGAAGAAGGAAGAAAGTCAGGGAGAGAGGGAAAGAAGGAAGGAGGAAGGGAGGGAAAGAACAAGCACTGGGGAGGCTGAGACAGAAGTATTACAAGGTTGAGGCCATAGTAAGACCAAACCAAAAACAAATCAAAAACTTCACATATATCAGCCATAATTTATACAAATTCTGAGTTAGGAATTAAATAAAAATTGTTGTAGTCAGAAATGGAAGATCTTACCTCATCAACATGACAGAGTGATTAAATAAGTATTATGTGGGTGTGGGTGTGGGTGTATGGGTGTACACACGCCTTGCATGTGTGGGCATGTATTTGAGACAGTTTTTATCCATAGTATTATTTTGTAATTTAAAAATTGAAGGAGCAAAGGATGTAGCTCAGTGGTAGAGCCCTTGTCTAGCATCTGAGAGGCCCTGAGTTTCATCCTTAGCATGGAAAAAAATACTTAAAATGTAATTGAGGGGCTGGGGATTTAGCTCAGTGGCACAGCGCCTGCCTGGCAAGTGCAAGGTCGTGAGTTCGATTCCAGGTACCGGAAAAAAAAAAAAAAAAAAGTAATTGCTTGAAGATCCTTCTAAGGTCAGTTTCTAAATGATTGTGAGCCAGGCATGGTGGCACACACCTATAATCCCAGCACTCAGGAGGCTGAGGCAGGAGGATCGTTGTGAGTTCAAGACCAGCCTGGGCTACAAAGTGAGTTCAAGGCCAGCCCGAACTGCGTACTGAGACCTGTCTCAATAAATAAATAAATAAATAATCATGAGAGGGTAGGTGCCCACTGTGGAAATTGTTGGTGACCCTCTGGGCTGCTGATAGGTCTAAATGTGTTTGGGATTCAAAAGAAGCAGCCACGCTGAAGATGAAGGCTGCTGACGGTGTCATGTCTCAAGCCTCCTCTCCACACAAACATCTTCTGTGGACGCTAAGCTTGGAGGGAGGGGGTTCCCTGCAACCGAGTCTGGGGAGAGCCACAGCTGCAGGGAAAGCTTCCCTGGGGTTCCAGGTGACTCTTCCAGCTCTTAGAAGTTTCAGCCACTGAGTGTGCTCCAAGCCTCCTTCTTCCCCTCTCTGACCGGTGGCCCTGGGAGACCAGGTGTCAAGGAGCAGCTGCCTAGGAATTAGACTTTGCCCATGCCAGACCCTTGCCCCTCCCTTTTCTTTGTACCTGACATATCCCAGCTCCAAATAACCAGACCACACAGAGTTTCAAGTATTTGCTTCTTCTTTTCCTACTCCATTGAAGAGGACAAAAATTATACTAAGTACATGAAGTGCAAGAGGCCAAAGCTCAGCCATCCCAGGGTTTCAGACAGTTAAACCTCCCCTTTTCTATTTTTCCTCAACCCCTCCCCAGGCCAGGACTCTGTTCTGCTTCCTTCCTTCACAATCCTCAGTAGGGAGGCTGGGCCGGCACAGGGGCGGGGCACAGAAAGTCCTGCTGGAGCAGGGCTCCTAGCCAGTGATATTTCGCCGCATCTCACACACCCAGCGGTTCACCTGCTGGCAGAAATTGTCATTCCAGTAGCCACTCGACAAGACTTCAACACAGTCTTCGCTTCCACCCACTTCGCGGCCCCACCACTTTTCTCGCTGAGAGAGAGCCCAGTTCCTAAGAAGGCAAAGCAAAGCTCAAGCTCTGACCTGCCACAGGCCAGCAACCCCATGCCCCAAGCCATCAAAACACAGCCTTGGAGGTGGGGAGTTGGGAAGGAGAGGATTGAGGAATGTGGTCCTTGAGGGACCCGTGGGAGTGTGTTGGGGTGACGGGGCCAGGTGGCCATTCCAAGGGGAGACTGACAGGGAGCTGCAGGGAGGCCTCTTACTTGTAGCTGTATCTGTATTCAGTTCCATCCACCCATTTCCAGGAGCCTTCGCTGTCCGTGAGACCTATCCAGGTATGAAAGGGGCCCGTGTGCTGTGCAATGAATTTCTGGAAAAACAGATGGGGGAGGGGCTAGCTGCCTGCACCGTCATTCTCTCATGCAGGCGTTCATGGGCCCCCCAGACTCCCCAGACAGATCCACCCCAGGCTGCAGCCTCAGTGCCACACAACAGCTTCCTTGCTTGTTCTGCTGTAACCCCAGCTGCTGCTTAGTCAGCTTTTCCTGAGCTACCCTTTGTGCTAGTAGTTTTACAAGCATGATCTCATTTAATCCTCAGAAACCTTCTAAGTGATTCCTATTTTTCAGGGCAGTTGTTAGAGCCTAGAGAGCCAAGCCATGAACTAGGCCATGAGCCCAGTTCCTGACCACTGCCCTCTGTTCCCAGCCCCGGCCTAGCATCCCACTCCATCCCCATCAAGCTGCTACCCTACCTCTGGCCCCCACCCATCTTCCCACTGCCTCCAACCCTTGGAATCTCTGCTCCTGCTGCCCCAACAGACCCCAGAACCTATTAAGGATCTCTGTTTCACTCGCTCCTGGGTATATGTGCCCCTGCATGCTCCTGCTTCTAAATGGAGCTGTCATTTCCTAAGGTTTGCTGAGCCTCAGGGGGTTCTGGGGCCCACACAGCGGGGCTCCATCATGACCCGGCTACGTCGGATCTGGCACTCTCTGCTGCAGGCAGGAGGGTGCCCTGAGAATGAGGGGCATCCCAGTCAGCCAGCTGGCAGGGGCTTGGGTGACAGGGTCTCTGAGCCCTTTCCAAACGGCTTTCTCTTACAGATATGGATATTTCTAGAAATTTAGGTCGCATGGTTTGGTAATTCAAGTTGTGTCACCCGGCTTTGTGGAGGAAGCAGAGGGGTGGGTTGACCAACAGAAACCCTTGACACTGTGTGAAAGGCTTTTACTTGCATTTGGGGGGAATGTAATTCCACTGATGCTCTGTAGAGACATAACTAAGAGTGCAGTTGGTCACCTCACCCAAGGGCATAATCAGAGATAGTAACATCCCTCAGTTCTAGGATCCTACAGGTAGGACAATGTCCTGTGCATGAAGGCTGCTCTCCACATTCAGAGAGGTCAACAGAGTTGGGAAGAAGGAATCTGAGGACAGGATATTCTATCTCCTGCTATCTGCTACTCCTGTCACCTCTTCCTGTCTGCAAGGAAACTAAATAACTGAATGAAGAATCCACATCATTAATCCCAGGCTTCTGTACTGAAGACTAAAGAGGAATCCAGTTGTGCTAGACAGGCAGAGAAAATTGTCTAGGATCACTCATTCTAAGTTAATAAGCTTCAATCAGCCATTTAAAGTTATAAAAGTAATCATCAGAGATTAAGTCAAAGCAAGAACATTAAATGAGATACTGGCATTCACTTTATAATGGTGAGAGTACAATCCAGTAGAAAGATGTAACAGTTTGGAACTTGTGAGCCATCTATCTCACAGAATGCTGAAATCTTAGGCTGAATGACATGCAACTAACATTTTATAGGTCAAAATCAATTGAGTATTGATGATTTCAACCTGACCAAAAAAGCAAAATATGTTTGCCATCACTTTACACTTACAGAGCACTTAACAGAGAGAGCCTCACAGATAAACACTCAGTAAATATACCCGTGACTTCTGCATCACATGGCTTAGTTGCTTTGGCATTACAGCACTTTCAAGTTCATACAGCACAAAGCCCCCAAAGACCTTACAGTACTAAGGCAGCAGGTAGTAATCGGAAACACTAGCCAAAGAGGTCTAGTGGATCCGAATTCTGGCTCCATCATGATGTACTAGCTGTGTGCCAAATCACTTAAGCTCTCTGTTCCTTAATGGCCTCATCTCAAAGTGGGGATAATAGGATCTCTGCACAACAGGTTGTGAGGATTAATGTGAACAGATGAAAGCACCCAGAACATAGTAAGTATTCACTAAATGCTGCCAATATTATCCTCCCTCTTTCCAAAACATCCTATGTATTCTTCCCATTGGTTCTTCCCCCAAACTTGAGTGGTCAGGGTTGCTCTCTGGTGGCAGCAGTGGGGAGGGGAGACACAGGGCTCCTTGGAGGAACACAGTGACCCTCTACGGGAGACCCCCTGGATCTTGCTTATTCTATTGCTTTGACCCAAGTGATGAACACATCCAAAGGTCAGCACAGCAAGAGAGGATTCTAAGCCCTCCACTACATTCTCCTTCTGTGTCCTGGCCTCAAGGTCATCCCAGCTGGCATTCTGTCTCCCGGCTGTCTCCTCATCACTTGGTCTCATGGGTCCTGGCAGTCTCCCACCTCTTAGAATCAAAGGTTGCTCCACTAGGCACCTCCCAGAGCTCTACCCCATTTCTGCCTCTGGACTCTTATTTAGGTTAAAAAGAGAAAGAGCAAGCCTGACCAGGCCTCTTGACCAAGCCTGTGTTTGAGGTTTCCTCCTGGCTTTGGGAAGCATGGCCTCACCTGCTCTTCCCAAGAATTGATGACCACCAAGTGGGCGTTCTCCAGCTGGCAGTACTTGTGAGCCTCAGGCCAGGTCATCCCAGCACGAGAGAACCAGTAGCAGCTGCCTTCATGCTCCATCCAGTTAATGGGGCAGCATTCTGTGCCTGAGGGGGCCAGGGAGCAGAAAAAGGTGAGATCCTGCTGGAGGGAACAGACACACTGGGACCAGAGGCTCCCTGTCCCTACCGTTACTCTGGAGGAACACCATCTGACAGGTCAGGGTGCGCAGATCCACTGGAAAGTGCTTCAGGTGAAGGTGCAAGGTAGCGTGATCTAGGGAACAGATGAATGGGTAACACTGTGCCAGAGGTAAGTCCCCGTCCTTTCAGGACCAGGCACAAAACATTAGCTGTTAGTAAAGGAGGCACATACCCACACACCACACCACATATCCCACATATGCATGTGCCTCACCACGTAACACACATACACCACACCCTACACATGAAAGGATAGTGCGCACCACACCTCACACGTACCACGCCCACCACAGACACACACCACCCACATCGCCTGCACCACGCACATGCAGATATCCCTCACACAGCATATCACACACGTACAAACACACAGCATGGATACACACACCACACACAAAACCATACATACCATCACACACATACACACACACCGGGAAGGCCTCTGACCTGCTTGGAGATCTTGCTGCTTTTTCTCTAACTTGGCTCCCAAGGATGTCAGCTTGTCATTTGCTCTGCCTCCTGAAACAGGGAAACTAAATCGCTCTGCCTCTGCATGTGCCTCCAGCCTCAGACTCCTGGACATGAGCCGGGGCTTCTCACCTTGTCCCAGGATGCTGTCTGACCCCAGTCTGCATCCCCACAGCCCCTGAACACACTCCTTCTGAAGACTCAACACAGAGCCCAGAAAATTCTTGTGCCAACCACCCAGCCCACTCACCATGGGAGTCCAGAGCCCGGATCTCCATCAGGGTGCTGGAGGAGAAATTGCTGAATGCTTCTTCCAGGGTCCGCAGCTCCATTTGCAGCTGTGTGCCTTGTCAGAAGACAGTGGGACAGGATGGGGTGTAGGCGGCCGTGGGGCCGTCCCCCTCACCACCCATCACTGCCATCATCGTTATCCCCGTCATTCACCCCCCACTGCCCCTACTTCTGCCCAGCACATGCCCCGTGCTGTCTCCGCCTCTTCCCCTCTTGTTCCCATCACTGCCCCATCACTGCCCATAACGCTTTCCCGTCCGTGCCCATCCCTGCCAGCCTTATGATTCTCACTTTGGGACCCAATCACACAAACGGCCACCAGCAGTAGGACATTGAAGCCCAGGGCGAGCAGACTGAGACGGAAACTGGAGCAGAGGCGCTGCCGGAGGGGCCTGGGAGAAGATGGCCCTGTGAGAGAGGGGGTGTCAGGAGCTGGGCATCCAGGAAATGGGAGCTGCAGCATGAGGCACAGTGGAGCAGCGGGGCACACACATCTGCGGAGACACAACACAGGCGGGGGAGGAAGCCAGGTCGGGGGCTGTGGGGTGCTTGATGGTTTTCGACCGTTGAGGCATTGAACACACATTTACACACTTGAGCCCAAATGAAAATGTTTAAGCATACACACACCCCAACACAGCTGCATAGATCATGCATTCACATGGCACACGATACACCAGCTAGGTGCAAAACTGAGATTTTAGACTTGGGGACAGGGAGACACAGTGGGATCTGGGGGACAGACTTGGGCTTTACTAGACACACATCCTAAAAAGATCTGTGAATGGTTTCCCCTCCTGTCCCCAGTGGGAGAGGCCTGTTGATCATCTCTGGTTTTAGTCTCTGTCCTTCCACATTCCCTATCCCTTCAGACTGGGATCCCTTGAGGCTGGGCCCAGTGTTCTCCCTAAGATCAGTGCCTGTAACCCTCATGCAAGTCCAAAACTGAATCCATCCCATCCCAGAATCTACTGGGCTCCTTCAGTCCATAGACCACTCCCCAGGGGTTGGCCCCAGGTCTCCTCATGTCCTCACTCTGCACCTCCTTCCTCAATTCCCATTGCCCTTGTCCCCACAGAAACCCAAGCCCCACCATAAGCACTCTTCCTTAGCCCTCAGCCACCCATAGTGACCTCTTCTACCCATTGATCAATCTACATCCTGACCAACACATATGCACACATGCACACACTCATACACAGTTTTCATTTCACTCTCACATTTGTGTACACACATTAACACAGCCTCTCCTACACACTCTCACACAATCCCATACTAATGCACTCATTCTATTATTCTTTTATTTTTTTTAAAGACAGAGTCTTACTAAGGTATCCAGGCTGGGCTCAAACTTGCAATCCTCCTGCCTCAGGCTCCCAGAGTGCTGGAATTACAGGCGTGCACCACTACATTCAGTAGATGCACACATTCTTACACCTCATTACATGTGCACACCAACATGTTCACACCACACATACCACACACACACACACACACACACACACACACACACACACACACACACTGGCCCACCCCTCTCTGTCTCTCCAGGCCCAAAGGAGTGACCTACCCCAGCCCTAAGCTCCTGCTTTTGCACCATCCTCCTGTGTAATGATTCCTCCTCTCTGCCTTGGACGCGGACTCTGTGGACCTCCCTCCCGCGTGGCCATCACATCCTGGCATGCCCACATCCTAGGAGGCTCAAGCAGGGGCCCAGAATTTTCCTTCTCAGGTCACCTCTTGCTGCCATCCTGAGTTGGACACTGCTCCTGTGAGCGACTGCCCAGAACTCTTGACCTTTCCACACCAGTGACTGTCACCTTCCTCCACAGAAGCCATACTCAGAACCCCACCTTGACCCAGAGAGGTTGTGCCTCTGATACTTCCTTTCTACCCTGTGAGCACAGCCTCTCTGCCTCTCACTTGCCCCACCATGCCCCGAGAGGAGTGCCCTTGCATTCCTCTCTGCACTGAGGTTAAAATGTGCCCCTAAAAGTGTTAAAAACTTGATTCCCAATGCAGAGTTCTGGGGGGGTCCTGATGGGAAGTGGCTGGATCATACAGGGTCTGTCCTCATGCATGGATTACTGCTTATTGCAGGAGTGAATTATTTATAAAAGTTTCCCTCTTGCTGTCTCTCTCACCCTCTGCTATGGTTTGTGTCTAGATGTCCCCCCACAGCCTCATGCAGTCATAGGGCTTTTTCAGAGGTGACTGAATCTAGAGTGTATGACCCTGGGATCAAGGGTGTGTGGTTAGCGAATCAGTCCACTGATTTGTTTGGCCTAGCTCTGGGTAGGACTAAGGATGTGAGCACTATATACACCCTAGGGTAGGTAGCCTGCATACAATATAAGGGACAGAAAGAGTCTCATCTCCCCTGCTTGTCGCTTTGCTATTTTCTGCCTGCCATAACTGTTCTCCTTTACTAAGCCATTCTATCTTGGAGCCAACTGATTATGGACTGGAACCTCTACAAACTGTGACCTTTATTTAGGTTTATTTACCTTTCCTCCTTTAACCTTGGGTGTCAGGTATTTTGTCTTAGCAATGAGAGAAAAATAACTAAGACACTCTTCCTTTGCCCTTCATGAGATGATGCAGTGAGAAGGTCTCCAACAGGAGAGATACAGCCTGCCAGCCTCCAGAATCATGAGCCAATAAGTCTCTGTACATTATAAATTACCCAGTCTCAAGTATTCTGTTACTGCAGCACAAAATGAGCAAGGACACAGTCCCGCCAGAGGCTCTCTCTAAGCAGTCTTCCCCATCCAGCCTGGAATTCCACAGCTGAGCTCCAGACTGCACCCCTCGGTACTGCCCATGGAGAGCACCCTTGCCCGGCTTTGAAACCGGTGACCTACAGACCCCCAACTCTAGGTCAGCTCCAGCGGTACCACCAACTGGCTCAGATATCTGGGACCCATCATTCAATTTCTTGGTACCTCCATATTTTTAAGAGTAAAATGACAATAACAAAAGTAGCATGTAAAGTGCTCCTTGGGCAGTTTGAAAGTTAAATGATCTCTCCAAGATGAAAACACAGGGGCCAGATTTACCCTTTCCCCAGAACAACCAAAATGAAAAACAAACCACTATAAAACATGACAGTTTTCAAGACACTGGACAACAAGCAGCAAAGGACAATGACCCCTGAAAGACAGGAAATAAAAGAAATAAGTCTTCCAATCACCCCAGCTTACTGCTAGAGAAAGTTTTCAGGTCAGGGAGCAGGGAGAAGAAAACAAGGTGGAGTCCTGCAGACTCCCTGAGTTGAGGAGATGGAGCTGGGAGTCTGAACCCAGGATAGTTAGGAGTTCACAGGATCAAACTGACTCCAAGTTACTTAACTGCATCCCAGGAAAAAAAAAAAAAAGCTGAAAAATATTTAGAGTAAAACAAAAATGTCTAGAAGGCAAAAAGATAAATTTCACAATGTCTAGCATCCAATCAAAGGTCACGGTGCATACTGTGAAACATGAAACTCATAATGAGGAAGTGAATAAATCTATCAAAATGGGCTGGGGGTATAACTCAGTGGTAGAGCACTTGTCTAGTATATGTGAAGCCCTGGGCTCAATCCTAGCTGGGGAGAGGGTGTAAGAGTATCAGTGGGACCAAGAATAAACGTGATATATTAGTATATACTTAGCTGGAGTCCTTGACAGAAAGGAAAGGGATGGAAAAAATATTTGAGGAAACAATGATCAAAACATTTCCAAATTTGTTGGAAACTGTATAGATGGAAAGTGCCAGGAAGAGTGGGAGGCAGTCAGCAGTGAAGTCTACTCCTTCAATGACTCCCACTTCCAGGCAGCAGAGCTACTGGAGAGAGATGCAAGATTTGCTGTGACATCTAGGCTTGTCCCTCAATGTTGGCCCTCAGTCCCTTTGGGCGAGTTCCCACTCTCACTAATTTTGAAAACTCTGGACTCTCTCCAAGTCCCCCACTCAAATTCTGGATCCTCTCAACCTCAGAAGGTCCAGCAATAACCAAAGTCATTGCTGAAGTTTTAGTAGTCCCAGGCACCATGTGGACCCAAAAGTTGAAGAAGACAGTGGAGGCAGACATGGCCTTCATCCCCATGGAGCCCACAAATGGACAATAAGTCTTGTGAGCCCACTGCCAAGGGAAGGAGAAGCCATCAATGGTACATCTACCCCTTCTGCCCACTCCTGCTCGGCCCAGTGCCAGCTGTCCCTCCTGCCGGCCCCAGGAGTGAGGGATTCCTCCCAGCCCAGGCTCATCAATCTCCCTCCCTGACCTCTGAGTCCCAGCCTCTCTTCCTTCCGTAGAAACCAGCTCCATCACCAGCACCTACACAGAGCGCCCTCCTCCATCCCTGGCCTCTGCCCGTCTGCCCAGAACCACTCTGATCTCTCTGCTTTAACATTTTTCCTAGTCACTGGCAGCCTGCTTCAAGATTTGCTAAATATTCAGGCAGGAAGTCCAAGAGGAGCAGGAATCTCCCACAGCCTCTCTGTGCTCATTTCCCCACTCACTCCAACGCACACAGAGGCCTAGCTGGCTCTGTGTTCCCTCCATCCACACACAGGCACGGGCAAACACACAGCACTTATGTCCCTTGCGGTGGGAGGAGGAAGGAAACCACCTGCAGCACACCCGGGAAGCCCTAAGCACAGCTCTCCACGGCGAACACCTAGAAGGACTTAGTCCCAGCTCAGAGCGTGAGTGTGACAGACCCCAGAGAGACAGCGCGTTCTCAGCAGCTGATTCAGGGTGAAGATGAAGCCCAGGAAACTGGACACTTGCCTTTCCAAAAGGGATTTTCTCTCCTGGGATTCTGCCCACAAGTGCCTGGCCCCTCACCACCGCTGAGCTGATGGTCATTGTCCTCGGGGTCCAGCTGCTGGATGTCTTGAAAGTCCTTCTCCATGATGGGCCCAGAGCTGGAATCAGATCTGGGACTGAGTAGAGGTGGCAATTAGAGCTGGGGCTTATGCTAAGACGCGAATTGTAGTGGAGGCTGACAGTAGGATTGAGTAGGGCCTGGGGAGTCAGGTGATAGGCTGGGCTGGGTCTGAGATTGGAGATGAGTTCAGGTTAAAGATTTTAAATATTTGGTCCTGCCCCTTCTCAAGAGGTGGCTTATCCCATAATCTCAGCACTCAGGAGTCTGAGGCAGGAGGATTGCAGCAAGTTCAAGGTCACCCTGAGCTACAAAATGAGTTCAAAATTAGCCTGAACTACAGTGAGACCCTGTCTCAAAAATAAACAAACAAAACAAACAAAAAAGAGGTAGCTTAGCCCCTGACATGGCCAGGAACCCTCCCTCCATACTCTCAAGATCAAACCACCCACATCTGCCCACCAGCCCCACTGTCCCTAAACCAGAGTCTCTTTAATTCAAAATATCCCCCACCCTGCTTGTCTCCCCTACCTTGGTTACCGGTTAAAGGTGCGAAGAGCTGGCTCTGGGTCCTGCAGGCAGCCCAGGCCCCAGGGAGAAAGAGGGGATAAAACTGAGAGAACTTGGGCAGGTGGTGGGTGCTAGATGAGAGGGGAAGAGGAAGCTTGTCCAGGCCGGGGTCCCGAGTGTCCAAACTACTCTAACGTGGCATCTCCTGGCCTGGGACTTTGGACAGTAAATAGAAGTAGAAACAGCCGGAACTTGGGCAATGGGCAGTGGTGGAGGGGGACACAACAATCTCCGTGCTCACCCCCTAGGAAGGGGTCTCCTGGTCCTTCCCCCTCCCCGTCTTCACATGCCAGTCGTGTCACTCCTTACTGTACAATTTGGGAAGGGGAGTCAGGCCTAGGGGGGCCAGGGTGTAGTTTCTGATTTCTCCTCCCTTTTTCACTTCCTGCCTCTAAATTTCCCAGAATTGTTGGTGTCTCTAAATATCCCTGACTGAGTTCAGAAGGACCGACAGCCTCCCTGTTCTTGCCCAATCTGGGCCTGTGATACTGGAATCCAAACACCAGACCACAACTTCCTGTGAGCTCAGCTCCAGGTTCCCGAGCCTCAGCCTGACTCACTCACTCTGCTAAAGGAGCAAAGGTGCTCAAGATACGGAAGAAACAGGGAAGGAGAAAGGAGCATAGCGGGAAGCGCATCTTCCTGCAGCAGGAGGAGCTCTACCCCAGCAAGCACCTTCTGTAGTGTAAGCACCGCAGCAGGTCCAGGAACGCAGATATTTGTCCTCATGCCCAGCCATTGTTGTGAATTATCTACAGATATTTTCTTATTTAACCCTCACAGTACAACAGCCCCAGGAGCTGTGTTTGTTATCCCCATTCCACAGGGGAGGAACAGGAGCCGCAAGAAAATTGAGTGATGTGCTCCAGGTGGGGGCTGATACCTTGAATCTGGAATGTCCCCCAAAGACTCATGGACTAAAGGATTGGTCACCAGACCGTGGCATTTTGGGAAGTGAAGGAAAACCTTCAGGAGGTGGGGCCCACTGGGAGGTCTTCCAGTTACTGGAAGCCTGCCTTTGTTTTTTGGGTTTTTTGTTTTGTTTTTTTTTTTGGTTTTTTTCTCCAGTACCAGGAACCGAACTCATGACCTTGTGCTTGCCGGGAAGGCGCTTTGCCACTGAGCTAAATCCCCAGCCCCTGGAAGCCTGCCTTTGAAGAGGATTTCAAAAGCTAGACCCTCCTCTTCCTCTCTCAGTTCCCAGGTATAAGTTGAGTTATCGCAGGTATTTGTGTTACTGGACCCAGGTCCAGCCGTTCACTGCTCAAAAGGCCGCACTCAGGAGATAAGAACTGGGTTGAAAAGAAATCAGTTTTATTCAAGAGCCAGCACCATGGAAGGTGGAGGGAGCAATGGTCTCCAGAGCCCCTTCTTAGGAAACTCAAATATACAAGCATTTCTATACAGAGGGACAGGAGGTGCAGGGGGTAATGAGCAGGAAGATTATATGCTGAGTCACATCCAGGCTCCATAGCATCTTGTCACTACGGGAATGTTTTTCTTTCTCTTTTGCCAGAATATCCTTGCAGCAGCAATCAGCCTTCATGTCCTAGTCCTGTAGGACCTCCAGTCCTATAATTCTTTAGATAAACATTATTTTCTTGCAAATTATCTATATTCCTGTTTTTAAAGAACAGGATTGGCAAGTTGTGTGTTTTGTGTTGGTGAAGTACATTCTGATGCTACCTGAAGGTCATCGGATATCCGGGGTTCTGTAAACCTAAAGGAAAGCTACTTATGAGTTTTAAAACTTCTGTCTTTTTACTTCCTTTTCCCAGGAATAGCTAACCTTGCAATTTATGATACAGACGGGAGAAAAACAGAAAGCAGCTTTTGCTGGAGAACAGTATTAACCCATTAGGCAACTTCAGTTGGAGGTGCAATCTACAGCAAAGCTAATGGGAGACTGCTAACATATCCTGTTGCATTACCTCCAAATTAGTGGTTTTTGAAGTCAACTAAAATCAAGTAAGACTGGAGAGTTTATATAAGTTTTTCCCTTTCTTACAGTGACAGAAACCTGATAGTGAGAAATGGGACAGTCATTGCTATACCAGAGATGATGTGGGAAAGTGTTTGGGACTGGTTTGCAGATAGAGTTTTTAAAAGTTTGGAGGAGTGGGATAGCAAAAGCCTAAAATCCTCAGAAGATCAGAAAGCCAATAGGAATGCAGACAATAAAAGCTATGCTGATGAATGGAAACTCTGTTGGAAATTAGACTTTAGTCCACTCATGTTACTCTGTGGCAAAGAATTGGGTCTCATTTTATCCATGCCCTGAGCTCAAACGTGATGAACTAGTTTATCTATCAGAGGAAATTTAAAGGCAGCGCGGCGTCCAGACAGTGGCACTGAGGCAGGAGATTAGGGATGGGGCCAAACTGGTCAAACAACTGAGCAGAATCTGTCAAAGCCCTGCAGACCCAGAGTACAGCATACAACACAGGACCCAGGATCCAGCATCCTGAACACTGCAGTTCCTAAGCACAGATGCAGAACCAATAAGAAAAGTGCTATTTTTAATTCTTTATTTACATTTGGCACAAAACCAAAGCAAATCTTCCATGGGACATTTAAATCTGGTGCCAGGCCAAGAGAATGTGTGATGGGACAACTGTGCCAATGTTTTATTTGCATGAGGGAGAAGCCAACCTAGGAATTCCAGATACATAGATCCCCTTACCCTGATTTCATGGCTGCTGCTCTCAGGCTACAGAGCCTACTTCTTTCCTCTCTTCAATAAATGTGCTTCCCCACTACCTTTTCTATGTATCTCGTCCAGTTCTTTGTTCATAATAGCAAGAATTTAGAAAGAATTTCCCCGGGACCCAGTAATCAGTAAAAGCATGGGTATTCCTGACAGCTATTAGCCAAATTTACTGTGAGAAGTGGGAAGAGAGTGGAAGAATTTGGAAAACTTACAGTTTGGTCAAATCTTCAGGAATAACAACCGCGTTCAAGTACACACAGGTAGCAATAGCTATGTCACAACCAGCAGCTGGATAGAAACTGTTGTGAGTCACCATCAATTGCAAAGTATCTCGGCTTCAGAGAGGTTCATGTGAAAAAATGTAAACCATGAAAGTGATGAAAGTATAATATAAGAAAATGATAAGAATCATGTAAGATAGAACCAGGACATCCAAAATACATGTAAGAATTACAGAAAAAGAGTAGAAGACAATAAACAATAGCCTAAGAAATGTTTTTTAAAAATATTCCCCTTGCTGTATAAAGCCTTATTTTCCTGTTCCCATGGGTTCATCTAGAAGTTGGTCCCTAGTTTATGATGCAAGCGCAACTCCACTTATGTATTCATTTGCCCATGTATCTGATCAGCAAACATTAAAAACCTACTATGCTTCAAGAATTATCAACAATTCTGAACACTTGTTCTCCCTGAATAAAACCAGAATATTCCTACCTCATTGATAATAAGTACCACATAACTTTTCATTTTCATTTTCAGAGATCCAGAATGAAACAAGGGTTTAAACACTAACAACTTTGTAAGTCCTTATAGTCTACATTACTTCTGTTTGTCTTTTCCTCAAAATCTTCATTTTCTACTTGTATTTCAGTTTTCTGTGGTCTTTAATCTTAGTTATATTTTACTGTAGCTCAGGTAGGTAGGCAGTCAGTCAGGTAGGTAGGTAGGTAGGTAGGTGGTAAATCTCTCCAATACTTCTAGAATGTATGTGCCCCCACCAACCCTGACCTGCTCCCCGCTTGCCCTTGTGAATGTCCAGGACACAGTGAAGGTTTCTCAAACAGGGTGAGAGGGGTTCTGCTTTTCAACTGGAGATTCCTAAGGTCCAGAGACCTCAAAATTATCTTATTCAAACAAAGCCTGAAAGAACTTCCCTAACCAGCTGAGGGGACTCCCTTCTTGGAACCCCACAGTTCTTGGCAGACTGGAAGAGACCTTCAGGAGCTCCTGTAACACACATGTGGAGGCCAAGTGGATGACCCAGTGAGAACTCATCTGTGTGAGCAAAAGGAATCCACCCCACAGGCACAATGTAGACCACCATGGGGGCTGAGGAGAGAAGTGCTGTTCCCCCACAGGGTCATCAGCATGACAAGTCAGCCAGACACCACATAAATGCCTGGTAGAGGTAGACTTGCCCAGGCTGAAAAAGTGGTAAAGAATTCCATGTTTATCCTAGCTGTCAAGTGAAGGAAGGTATCTACAAATTTAGCCATTATGCATTATTCCATCTATTCAAATCCAAGCCAGAAATATGGAATATTGGAATCCAGAGAATGTGATATTAATATATTTGTGTTAAATTTAACAGCAATCTGTATTTGGTATTATAATGCACAAGGAAAGTTAGCATGCTAAAAATTCCAAAGTTAGCCTTGTGGTATTAAATTAAACCACAAAATTGTGTTCTTATTTTAGACTTGTAGTTTCAGTTGAAAAGTATGCAATAGTTCGATCATGTTTGTAAATAGTAATGCAATGTTTGGGCCTTGAGATTCATGGTGACTATTAATTTGACTTATTTGACAATCCAAAGCAAAAAGAGCAAAGCTAGAGGTATCACCATACCCAATCTCAAATTGTACTACAAAAGAGAACAAAAACAGCATGATACTGGCACAAAAATAGACTTGTCAACAGAGTAGAATAAAACAAACCCCATGCAACTACAGTCATCTGATTCTTGACATGAGAGAAAAAACAACTCCTTAACCAGTGGTGCTAGGAAAACTGACTGTCCACATATTTCTATATAGGAAGCTATATTCCTATCACTAACCCCCTCCAAAAACCAGTTCAAAATGAATCAAAGACCTCGATATAAGACCTGAAACTGAAACTGCTAGAAGAAAACATAGGGAAAACATTTGAAGTCATAGGCACATGCAAAGATCTTCTGAATAAGACCAGTAGCACAGGAAACAATATTGAGAATCAACAAAATGGGACTACAGCAACTTAAAAAGTTCTTGCATAAGGGCCCGGGATGTAGCTCAGCAGCACAAGCACCTGCTTAGCCAGCACAAGGTCCTGAGTTCGATTCCCAGTACCAAAAAAAAAAAAAAAAAAAAAAGATCGGGAAAAAGTTCCTGCATACCAAGGGAACCAAAGAGCAGAGTAAGGAGACAGCCTACACAATGGAAGAAAATCTTTGCCACCTACTCTTCTGACAGAGGATTAATATCTAAAATATATAGAGAACTCAAAAATTTAACACCAAAAAAAATCAAATAATCCAATCAATAAATAGGCCAATAAATTGAACAAACACTTCTCAAAAGAAGTACAAGTGGTCAATAAGTATATGAAAAAAATCTCAACAGCATTAGCCATTACAGATATGTAAATCAAAACTATATTGCAGGTCCATCTGACCCCAGTCAAAGTAGCTATCATCAGCCAGTTATGGTGACACATCTGTAATTCTAACACTTGGGAGATTGAGACAGGAAGGTCACCATGAGTTTGAGACCAGCCTGGACTACATAGTGAGTTCAGAGCTAGTCTGAACTACATAGCAAGACCCTGTCTCAAAAAAAAAAACTGTCATCAAGAACACACACACACTCACACACACTCACACACACACACACACACACAAAATGCTGTGAAGATGCAAAGAAAAAGGAACATTTTAAGTGCTGGTAGGAATGTAAATTAGTACAGCCCCTTTGGAAATTAGTATGGAGATTATTCAAAAACCCAAAAATAGAAGTACCATATGACCCAGCTACCCTACTCCTTGTTATATACCTGAAGGAATTAAAGTCAGCTTACTATAAGAATACCTGCATATCCATGTATATTGTGGCACAATTCACAATAGTTAAGATATGGAACCAAATTATGTCCCCATCAACAAATGAATAAAGAAAATGTAGTACATATACACAATGGGATATTATTCAGCCATGAAGAAGAACAAAATCATGTCGTTTTCAGGAAAATAGATGAAATTAGAGGTCATCATGTTAAACAAAAAAAGCCGAACTTAGAAAGACAAGTATCACATGTTTTCCCTATATGTAGAGGCTAAGAAAAAGAAAGAGATGCATTAAAGTAAAAGGGAAACTATTATTAGACAAGAAGAGAATAAGGAGAGGGAGGCGGAAGTATAGGAGAGGGTAATGAGGATATAGATATGAGCAAAACTTGTTATATGCATGTATTACCACATTGAGACTCAATATTTTATAAAATTAATAGATATTAATAAAATCTATTGAAATATATGATTTAATAAACTGACTATATTTCATAAGAACAAGTAACAGTGAGGCATCCTCTCTGTACATGAATACCACCACACATCAAAATCTCACTTTGCATTGGGGTCCATATGCCAGAGGCTTGAGTCCAAAACAAGCTGCCCAAGAGACTCCCACCCCCTTGATTCCACTGTTGCCAAGCAAATGGACCAGGAAAAACATCTGCAGCTTCACCAGTACCCGCCTGAGAGGCCTGAGGACGAGAGAGCCAGCACACGCCCCCAGCCACCTGTTTCCCACACCCTCCTTTCCTCTCCCCTCCCCTCTGATGCCCCACTTGCCTCTTCTCCATAGCACTCCTCACCATTTAATATATTATTAATTTTACATATTTAGGTCATTGACTTTCCATGAATACTTGATGTGTTCGCTTTCCATCACTATGACAAAATACCTGGAAAAACCTAAGGGGAAAAAATGTTTATTTTTACTTCATTTCAGAGGTTTCTGTCTATAGTAGAGTTGACTTGCTTTCAGGCTTGTGGTGAGGCAGAGACATGGTGGAAGGACACGGAGGAGGTAAGCTCCTCACCTTATACGAGCCAGGAAGCAGAGAGAGCATGCAAAAGCCCGACAGGAAGGGGCTAGGGACAAGACACACCCTTCAAAGGCACCCCCACTTATGCCACTGCGTCCCAACTCCTAATACAGTAGTCCATTCAGGTATGAGGTTCACACACTCTTGACCCAATTACCTTTGTTGGCTCCACATCTGAAGTATTACTGCTCTGTATATCTCAATAATGCACCTTTGGGGCACACTTCCTATTTCAACCACAGCTCTTAAAGCAGGCCTCAGGAGAACAGGGACTTCGGCCTCATGTAGTCCTCAATCCTGAGCACCTGGAACAGGACCACACACGGTCTGCTCCCAATAAACACGAGCTGCATGAAGGAAAGGACGGCCTTTGTGTCTCACGGTCTGTTTATGCATCTTTCCCTACCTAGGATGAATGGTCCTTGAGCTCAGGAGCTACCATACTTACCACTCAGTCTCCATGCCCAGTACCATGTCCAGAAAAAAGAAGGGTCCAAACTATGTAAAAGTGAATCCCTGTTGGAAGGAAGGTAACAACCTCTGAAGTCAAGCAAAATTGAAATTCTGGATCTCTTGTTACAGGCGTGCACCACCACGCCCAGCTCTTGTTAGGGAATCTTCAGCAAGTTACTCAAGATCCTTAAACGTAGCCAGGCATGGTGGCACACACCTGTAATCCCAGCACTTGGGAGACTGAGACAGGAAGACAAGCCTGGGCTACATAGCAGGTACGAGGCCACCATAGTAAGACCCTGCCTTGAAGAAAAGAAAGAACTATCTAAATTTCAGTTTCTTTAGCTGGAAATGGGTATAATAGTACTTTACTCCATTCTGTCCTTGCAGAAATTAAACAGGTTGAAGGTATCTAATGCTGAGCCTTTACACAAAGTCCTTTCAGTAAAAATCAGTTCTTTCGCTTTTTGTCTCCTCCAGTTGCTTCAGGGAAAGCTCTTCTCCCCTATGCACCTTCAAGTACTTGGCCTGATTTTACTCCCCTGCAGAGTGATAGGAATCAGCACCAGACCGAGATGGAGAGGCCCAGAGGGAAACCCAAGCCTGCTGTGGTTCCGCCTGAGCAGAAAAGTGCACTCTCCAGTGGAGATTTGGAGACTCCAACAATTTGGGGAACTTCAAGGGCAGGAAGTGAAAGGAGACGTGGGCTTAGAGGGGTCCCTAAGTCACAAAAAATGAGGAAGCCAGGAGCACCAACAGGAATCTGCGAGGGAGGAGACTCACTCTGAGGACAAGAATGAAGACAGCCCTGCTTCCCCTGCTGGACCAGGCCAGAGCCAGCTGATCCGGGGGCCAGCTCCAAGTCAGCACCTCCATGAGCCCTAACTCCAGCCCTACCACCAGCCTCATCTTAGGTCAGTTCCACCAAAGTGAAGAACTGGCGGCCCTATGGGATGAAATCATAAAAGGATTCCCTGGTCTGCTGTCTTCTTTTCTTTGTTGCTTTTCACTTCTGGCTCTGTCTTGCTCCATGTATCTATTTCAGTCTACGCCTTCACTTCCCTCTCCTCCATGGGCCCCTTTCTGCTTCTCTCTGGCTCATTCTCTCATTACACAACACGTAGTTGTTAAGCATCTTTTTTTTTTTTTTGAGACAGGGTCTCATTATGTAGCCCAGCCTGGTCTCGAACTCAGTGATCTTCCTGTCTCAGCCTCCCAAGTGCTGAGATTATAGGCATGCTCCACCATGCCCGGTTTAAGTATCAATTTAGGGGGAGATTTGTGGAGGGCTTTTTAGTTTATTAGTACATGTGTGCAGTACATAATGATTACATTCTGTGTGTACATAACACATCCCAATTTCTTTTCTCATTCCCTTTCCCTTCCTTCCCTCCCTCCCCATCTTTTGATCCCCTTCCATTTTTTGTACATGTTTGCAGTTAGGGGAGATTCTGAGCCCCTGTGAAAGTCTTCAGAAGCGAGGCCAGAGATGTGAATCAAAATTATATGACATCCCAGCTGGCAGGGAACAAGGTTGCTCCCGGCCACCAAATTCCATCCATTCAGGGGAAACTTGTGCCCAAAGAGGAGGGGGAAGCCGGGCATGGTGGCACACACCTGTAATCCCAGAACTTGAGAGGCTGAGGCAGGAAGATCACTGTGAGTTCAAGGCCACCCTGGACTACAAAGTGAGCTCAAGTCCAGCCTGAACTGCATAGTGAGAGCTTGTCTCAAAAAGACCCAAAAAAATAAAAAAATAAAAAATAAATGAGGAGAGGGTATATCCAGGGCACTAGAGCCCCTGGCCCCACAGCTGTCCTAGACAACAAATCTGGTCCACATACTGAGAATGGGTGTATGCTTTTGTTTCCTAGGGCTCCACAACAAAACACCACAGACAAGATGCACAACCAACAGAAATTAATTTTCTCACAGTTCAGCAGGCTGGAAATCTGAGATCAAGGTTTCCAAAGGCTTGGTTTCTCCTGAGCTTTCTCCTTGGCATGGAGTCAGCCGGCTTCTCAGTGTGTCCTCATGTGATCCTTCTTCCTTGTGTCTGAGCCCTAATGTCCCACAGACACCAGTTATATTGGGTTAGGGCACGCCCCCCCAATAAGCTCATTTAACCTTAGTTGCCTCTCCTTTTAGCACTACTGGAGATTGGACCTAGAGCCTTTGCACTGAGCTACATCCCAGCCCTTGTTGTTACTGCCCAGGCTGGGCTCAAACTTTCAATGCTCCTGCCTCAGCCTCTCAGAGCATGTGCCGGCCTGCCCAGCTTCTCCTTGTCTCTTTAAAGACCCCATTTCCAAATACTGATGGCTCAAATTCTAGTGGACCAGGGGTTAGGATTTCAACCACTGCTTTGTGGGGGAAACAATTCAGCCCATCTCAGAGTACAAAACAGACAACTTTTACCTGAGATTGCATGTGCATGATCATGTGTGTGTTCACATGTGTTTCATGTGTGCTGGGAAAGAAGGGGTCAGAAGAGAGCTACTTTCCCCAAATCCAGCTCATCCCAACACCAGGCCCAGAAGGACAGAATAAGAACTGCCCTGGGTTCAATCCCCAGTACCAAAAAAAAAGTGGGGCTTTAAGTTATGCAAGTTTCATCCCCCTGGATAAGATAGGCCCGTTTGATGGCCTCATCAAAGAGACTCGAGGGTAATCCCTCGCTCCTTCTACCACGTGAGGACACAGAAGACGCCACCTCCCCGGTGTGGTGATGCAGGCCTACAATCCCGGCACTCTCGGAACCGAAGCAGGAGAACTGAAAGTTTGAGCCCAGATTCAGCAATTTAACAACCTAGGGAGAGCCTGCCTCAAAATTTTTAAAAAGGGGTGAGGTTGTAGTTCCGTGCAAAGGCCCTGGTTTCAATCCTCAGTACCACAAAAGGAAAAAGAGGAGAAAAAAGAAGAAGAAAGAAAGAGAAGAAGAAAGGGGAGGAGAAGGAGGAGGCCAGCAATGAAGAACTCCAGCAACAGCACGGGCAAATCCGGCGGTGCCTTCATCTCAGACTTCCAGCCTACAGAACCCTAGGAAATGAATTTCATGGCTTATAAATTACCCAGCCTTAGGTATCTTGTCACAGCAACACACCTGAATTAAGACGTCTACCCAGGTCCATCTGACTCCAGAGGCAAGGCTGTTGCTAACACGCACTGTGTCCCAGACTTGCCTCAGCTTGAGATGCACAAGTAAGAAGATGCAAACTCCTTGCACCAGGTGCGTGGCTGTCGCCAGCCTCCACTGCGTGTCTCCTCCACAGACCCTGTGTTCAGCTGCAGGGTGCGTTCTGGTGACACTAGAACGTGACAACTATTTGTTCCTTCATTCCTTAGAACAAGCTTTCCCTTCCTCCCAGTCCAGTCGTTCATCTGGTGACTTCCAGATCATCTTCTGGGAAACAAATGTGAGTCACCTCCTCCAAAAAGCCTCCCCCGGCTCAAGCAGAGCTTACTGGGCCGTCCCTGCACCACTCCATGCCAGGCATAGCCTGTTGCCATCGTTCTGGGGCACTGCCTGCCTCCCAAGAGGCACTACGACACCCACCAAGCATGAGCTGTGACTTTTTTTTCTCTGTGACTCCTATTTCTCTGCCTAACAGCCTGCAAGGGAAACTGCACACAGCTTGCTGATTCCCTTCCTTTTTGCTTTTAAAGTCAGGATACAGGAAGGCTGGTGTTTTGGTACAAACACTGGGAAACTCTCAGGAAACAGCTCATCAAAAGTGTGGAACAAAATAATTTAAAAAGCAAAATAAATGATAGGTGATGAGCCAGGCATGGTGGTGCACGCCTATAATCCCAGCACTGGGGAGGCTGAGGCAAGAGGATTCTTGTGAGTTTGAGGCCAGCCTGGGATACAAAGTGCGCTCAAGTCCAGCCTGAACTACATAGCAAGACCCTGTCTTAAAAAGACAAAAAAAAAAAAAGAAGAAGAAGATAAATGATAGGAAACTGGGAGATAAACTGTGGAAATCAGAAAGGGATCTGGGAATAAGAGAGGGGGGAGGGTAAGAAAAAGGGATCAAGGTGCAATGTGTATATGAATGAATTCCCCACGATGAATGTGTTATGTAGAGCAAACATACTCTACTCAAAAACTGTTTGCTTTTGTAACTCTCTGGCCTTGCTAAGACCAGTAGAGTCTCTTGGGGGAAAAAAGGAGGCAGAATTTCAAACAAAGGCCCCCAGGAGCTCTCTCGAGCTGTGTCTGCACAGCTCTTCCCTTCTTCTTAGCACCTGTCAAAAGTGTTCTGATTATTGTAGAATCCCAGATAGGACCTTTGAGGTCACACGCCACAGAGAAGGAGGGCTCCTGACACTGTTGCCCAGGGCTGTGTCCCACAGCTTAGAAGAGTGCCGAATATATAGTAGGCTCTCAAAAAATGTTAGTGTTTAATGACTTTTGCTTGAAGAAATAATTCTTTAAAAAAAAAATTTTTTTGGAGGCTTTTGAGACTGGGTCTTACTATCTAGTTCAGGCTGGCCCTGAGTTCACTACATAGCTCAGGCTGCCCTTGAGCCTGTGTCAATCCTCCTGCTTCAGCCTTGGGAGTGCTGGAATTACAGGCATGCCTGGCTTTAAAATTTTTGCAGTAGGAAAAATGTGGGTAAGGGTATAAATCAACTAGAACTCTCATACACTGCTGGTGGAAATGTAAAATGGTAAATTCACTTTGGAAACCTGTTTGGTTGCATCTGTTAAATTTGGACTTCCGTATCTCAGCCCCAGAGGGTTACCCAACAGAAACATCCATATTTTCATCAAAATACATGCATAAGGATGTCCACACAGCCAGGTGTGGTGGTGCATGCCTATAATCCCAGCACTTAGGAGGCTGAGGCAGGAGGATCAGCCAAGATTTGAAGGCTAGCCTGGGCTCCATAGTGGGTTCAAGGCCAACCTGAACTACACAGTGAGACCCTGTCTCAAAAAAAAAAAAGGAATGTCCATAACAGTGCTCTTCATTGTAATAGCTCCACATGGGACACTACCCAAATGCCCATCAAAAGTATTGGACAAACACTTTGGGGTACACATGCACACAATGGAATACTACACAGCAATGACAATGAATCATCTACAGCCATTGGTAACAATATAGACAAATCCACAATGACAAATGAAAGAAATCAGCTCAAAAGTATATGCGACACAGTTCTATTTACTTAAGGGCACAAACAGGCAAAACTGCCAGAAGTCAGAAGGGGTAGTAATAACTGGAAGGAGATACAGTGAGGCCCTGGGATCTGGGAACTTTGTTTCACCATCAGGTTTCTGATTGATTATGTGTTTGATCTGTGACATTTGACTTGTGCATACATATAGATAGATGATAGATAGATACATAGTATGTTTGTGTGTCGCTTAACAATACAGATCCATTTTGTTAAATATATCATTAGGAGACCGGGGATATAGCTCAGCAACACAGCACTTGCCTGGCAAGCACAAGGTCGTAAGTTCGATTTCTGGTACCAGAAAAATATATATATCATTAGGGAATTTAATCACTGCGTAAACATCATGGTGATTCGTACTGTCAGATAGCTACAAAGTTACTAAGCAATATAACTGGGGATGACTATCCTATATGCAGCTTGTTATTTACTGAAACATCATTATGAATTATAATTATGAATGTACTTTTTAAAAAGCTTTTGAAGGGCTGGGAATATAGCTCAGAGGCATGGTGCCTGCCAGGCAAGTATGAGGTGCTGAGTTTGATTCCCTGTTCACAAAAAAATAGAAAGTTTTTTAAATGGTAGTTCTTCAAAATATATTTTAACTACAATAAGATCCAGTAATTCTACCTCTAGGTATATACCAAAAGGATTGAAAGCATGGATTCAAAGAGATATTGGTATACCCATATTTACAGCAGTACTATTCACGTGTATTACATATTATAGCCAAAAGTAGAAGCCACGAGGTGCCCACCAAGAGCTAAATAAATAAAATGTGATATATACATACAATGGGATATTACTCAGCTTTAGGTTTGGTTTGGTTTGGTTTTTCTTTCTTTTTTTTTTTTTTTTATTTGGTACCAAGAATCGAACTCAGGACCTTGTGCTTGCCAGACACTGTTTTTGGTTTTTCTGAGACTGGATCTCACCCTGTAGTTCAGGCTGGTCTTGAGCTCACTCAGTAGCCCAGGCTAGCCTAGAATTTGCAGCACTCTTCCTGCCTCAGCCTCCTGAGTGCTGGGATTACAGGTGTACACAACCACACCCAGTTTACTCCACTTTTTAAAGAAGGAAATTCTAGCACATGCTGTAATACAGATGCACCTGATGCTATTGTGCTAAGTGAAATAAGCCAGTCACAGAAAGACAAATTCTGCGATTCCATTTTATGAGACTCCTACAGTAGTCAAATTCATAAGGACCAAGTAGAATGGTGGTTACTAGGGGTTCAGCAAGGGTAAATCGGGAAGTTATTGTTTAATGGAATACTACACAGAGTTTTAATTTTGCTAGGTGAAAAGTTCTGTGGATGGTTGCACAGTATGAACTTAATGCCACTGAACTATACTTAAAAAGAGTTAAAACGGTAAGTACTTGGTGTGTTTACCACAATTTTTAATTTAAAAATTTAATTGTTGCGATGGGTATTAAACATCACTTCATGTTTTAGGATCTCTTTCGTTGCTGAAAAAGTTAGTCTTTTGCCTCTCCCTTGCCAGCATTCAGGATCGCTGCGCCACCGTGTGGTCCCAGCTGCAGGAGCCGCACTCTCCCGCACCCAAGCTTTTTTCAACAGTACAGAATTGCGCCTCTTTCTAAACAACTGAGGTGAAATATGAAGCATGTTTCAGTAATTAAACT